GCACTATGCTACCAGAGCTATAACAAATGCTAGTTTGTATATGGCTTTGTGTCTCGTTTTTCACAGCATGTTGTTCCTAAGATTCTCCAGTAAATCAAAACTTATTTGCCTTTTCAGGAAACTTTAGAATCTCTGAGAGTCACTATATTTATTTTCCTCTCTGGAAAAGAAGTGTCTTTAGCTAGAAATGGCTTCTTCCACCAGAGTCTGTTTCCCAATTCCCTTCCAAGCAGTTAATGATCTGTAAAAATCTTAAATGCACCACAGGAGCTACCATTTTAAATAATTGGGTTGTAATGCAAATAATCCAAACTCTTTACTTGGCAAATCTCTAGACCTTTTTATACCTCAAGTTTCATAAAGCAGGCTTGACCTGTTCTTCATCAAGAGAATTAACCAATCCATCCTTGAATTCTGAAATAGTAGGATTTAAAATAATTCAAGGGTGCATTTCATAGAGGTGAATGTACACAAAGGACCCATGTTCAACTTGGACAGAGAAACAGAGGAGGAAACTTGGGTATTTTGTTTTATTCCTTGTGGTCTTGTGCTTTCTGAACCTGAAAATGTCAGACTAGCTTTTATATTTGAATGAAGCAAATGATCTTTGCGTATCTTATTCCAACCTTTTGCTATAAGCACCTCATCCCTTGGAAAGTAAAGCAGTGTAACAATCACTTTGAGTTCAGGCAAATGCCATGACTTCTCTTGTGGAAGAGTTTCACTACACATATACACACACACACATACACACAAAATGTACTTCTGAGCTTGCATTAAAGAGACCAAAGTAACCCATTACAAAGTTTCAAGGAGATCTGAAGAAGACAGTACTTTCTACTTTGGAGACGGATACATTGCAATGCTAAAAGGTTGAACTCTAAGGGCTAAGGTGAAATACTTCAAGAATTAGGGATAACATAATAATAGCTTATATTTTTCAGGCTCTTTGTAAAACACTTCACTACGTTCATAGATGCAGAATATTGCCAAAATACAAGTTTTCCCATGTTTAAGTTATCATTGTGTTTTCCCTTACTCTTTCTCTCTCTTGCCAAGACCCATCAATGCTCTTATCACCCTAATCCCATATTTCCATGAATGCTTAGCTGGAAAAAACTGCTATTACCTAGGATTTACTTATAAAATACATAGAGAAAGAGAAAGTTCTAGGTTTTGGAGAAATCTCACACTATTTATTTTCTCAAAACTCCTAAGACAACAATAACAAAGCCAAAGCAGTGAAAGAAGTTATACGACAAAGGCTATGTCTTCACTTGTATACAAAAAATAAAAGGGCTACAGCAGCAGCAGCTGCTGCAACTTAAAAGGTTAAATGAGAAGTTTAGGGGGCAGTGAGTTTAAGATAATGGTGGTGAAACAATTTGGAAAAGAATGCCAAGAATATTTGCACAATAACTTGAATAATATAATCAATGCCACTGAGTTGTACACGTGTAAGTTGTTGAAATTTTGTATGAGTACATATATTTTCACCAAAATAAAAAAAATAAGGATCTCATCATGCATTTTGGGGGAGATTTTTTTTTTCTTTTTGGGGGGTTGCAATTTTTTTCTGAAGGGAGAGGAGCAGTGGGTTCGCTGGCTCATTGCCTAAAACATCTGGAGATACAGTGTGTAGTAGGAAGTTAGCCAATGTTTATTGAATGCCTACATGGCAGGCATGGTTCTCATCTCCCTAAAGTACACATATCACCTCACTAAGCACTCACACTTAACAGAAGAGGAAATGGAGGCAGAGAGTGATTAAGTAACTTGCCCATAGTTATACAGTTTATCAAGAGCAGTGCTGGGAATCAAACCCAGGCAGGCAAGCTGCAGACTCTACTCTTAAACTGCTTCACAACACTGTCTCTAAGGAGACTGATCACTGAATAGAGAGGAAGATCTCTAGTTCCAAACTTTGTTTTTACTTATTACAGCTATGGGCCCCTAATATTTCATCTAATGTCTCCATACTTCCAACTATAAAATGGACCCCCAAAAAAATCTCTACTGCTAGGGATCTAATGAGGCCACATGTGTGCAAATATTTTGCAAATTCTAAATCACAATATAAA